AGGGAACACATGATCCTTTCAGACAGAGATTTACTAATCCAATGCATTACCTCTCCTCCACAGCCATCCCTAGGGGTGTGTGGGGCACAGGGCACATCAGCCCATGCAGGGCCAGAGTGTGGTTTGCAGCCAGATTGCAGAGGTGATCAGCCAGAGCGCGGAGCTAACAACACACAGCGGCCTGTATGGCACTGTCCGCAGGGCCCCCCAAAGCATGGGGCCCATGGTAGTCGCCCTGATTCACTGCCTCCCCCCCTGCTCTCCTCCCCCATAGTTTGAGTAGCCAGAGACGCTGCTTTTAGAACGTAAATTCACCATTGTGTGCCTCAGAGCAGGTCCACATGGAAGATTGTCAATGACTCCAGTTAAATTCTAATTCCAAGCCATTACCTCTTCTTGATGTGAATAACTATATCACTGCCTCACAAAACAGCTTTGGTTATAATATAATGCTATATCAAAGTGACATGCATGTCAAATACCACAATGCATAGAAGCATAAGAATAAGGTTACGTACAGCTTGATGTTACCTATACATAGGGACTACTTGTGCCTTATCACTCAGTAAAATACAGCCAAGAAAAAAAACATACGACATCCCACAACCCCCCACTTCCTAGCAACCCGATTTCTATTTTCTTTTCTTGTAACATTTATTAGCCCAAGAAAATAAAAAATTCTCTCTTCCCTAGACACTTCAGGACATAAATATTCATCCTAGAAGCTGTTCATTAGAAAGTTTGCTGCCAGAAACACTTCATTTAAATCTTTTTTTCCTAAGAATACCAGCCAGTTTAAAAAACATAACAAAACAAAAAACTAAAGCCATTTTTGGCTTTCGCATTTCACTTTTTGCTTGCTTTCCCCGTGTACTTGGATACCATATTAGAATTACTTTTAGCTTATGTCCTTCACTAACTATTTAAAATTAAGAAATTGTGAGACACTGGAAATTGCAAAGTTTTCCTTCTAAATTGGAGGGAATTGGAACTTGGCCATGAGAAGACCAACACTAAAACTTCCATCTAGGTGAGAAAACATAATTTCAACTAGACAAGACTCAGATTCATAATACTTATTCACTACTGGAAAATAAAATACATTTTTATTAGAATCTATTTTAAGATTTAAGTCAACAACTGAAGATGCTGAAAATCAGTGTGCTGCAAACTTGGATAATTTCTTTAAATCTCCAAATGTTCTCTACAGATTCACTTCAATACTTAATTTCAACACTGCACAAAATAGGACTTAGATTTCTAAAAATGCCACTACCCTTTTGCTCCTCAAGTCAAGAAGCAGGTAATAGTTACAAGCCAAGGCAGAAAGTGGCTCAAACAGAGCAGCAGCAAGCAAAGCATGCATACATCCTTGCATTCTTTGCTTCATGCAAGCAAGGGAATCCCCTCAGAACAAAGACACCAAGACTCCTGATAACTTCTACTTACTTGGTGATCCCAACAGACAGAAAACAAGGAAGAAACAATCACCTTGCACAATTTTCCCCTATGGGACAGGAAAAATTACAATACAAACAAAAGGGCACTAAAAAAATTAATTCACAAATTAATTTGTGCAGCTGACAAAAATCTAAGGTGGCAATAAGGATGAAAAGATGAGGAGATAAGAAAAGATCAGGTTTCATTATTTATTTCTAGCTTTCAATGTCTTGGAGCCCCAGACACAGATCAAGACTCTGCTCTGAAGAATTTACAATTCCAAATTTTTTTATTTATGTAGTTTAGACTGGGGAATTTTCGTCAATGCCAATTTCCTAATACAGCTTAGTCTAAATACAGTGCTTGCCTTGGCTTAATAAATATGCTAAATATGTCCCAAACCCTTTCTAGACGCACAAAGTTCAGTTAGTTTATTATAATTTTATCAGTCAGGCTCCTAAAAGACTTAATTTAATCATACAATGGGCTCTGAGGAATTTCATCACAGATCCCAAAAATCATGCATCCTGCCATGTTAAATGCTCAAGATATGGCATGGCACAATGCAAGACTGTTAAGATCTGAGATAATATTCTTCAAACCACGTTGCACATCTGCTAGGGAGTGGAGAACTGGAGAATCAGAGAGCTTATCCCCATCTCCCCGTGCCACACAGCTGTAAATGGTGTGCCTTCAGCTTGCTGCACACGCACCGAGATCTGTGAGGTTCAAGTCACAGGTTCAAATTAAAGCACAATGTAAACCAGACACAAAGATTTTCTATATTTAATGTTTGGTTTACCATTTTTGCCAGGTGATAAAACTGATTAAACATGTGGCATGTTACAATTTATTGCATGGCTAACATGCTAATCATGAAAAATGTAACATCTCCTAGAGGCCTTAATCTCGTACTAGTAAAATAACAGTCGCTAGCTAATCTTACAGATAGTGTTAAACTGATGTAAGTGTCCCTACATAATATTTTACATTGATTTAGTGAAAATCAATGTGAAAAATCTATTTTAAGCCAGCACACCTTCTCATATAAGCAATCTAGCAAGCGCCAGAGAAAAGAGCTGTCAATATTGACTCTATAGCTCAGCGGTGCTTAACTTTCTGGCTCCCTGGACCAGGTAAGTGACACAGGGGCATTCTGTGGGTCAAATCCCATGGGTGGGATCAGTCCACAGGCCAAATCCAGCATGAGTCAGTCCATCAGCCTAGATCCTGCACACTGAAGCAACCCAACACAAGGGGGCTGTGTCACCTGACCCACAGAGTTGAACACAGTTGAAGAAATTTGGTGGAGGGTAAGCAGTCGTCAGATGACATGGCTCCATGAGCTAATTTCAGCTCCTGGGTCAGAGGTTGATATAGTCAACACCAACCTGAAAACAGACATTTTAAGCACAGTTCAACATCAAGTGGGAACTGACTCCACCCTTCCAAGATTCTTGATATGACAACTGAACTGTGAGAAAATATAGCTGAGCAAATCTGCTGGAAGTAATGAAGAGAAGGAGAAAAACTTCTGACAAATCCAAGAAGAAAAAGATCTTTTTTTTTTCTTCTTTTATTTGAGGACTCCTTCAATTTATTTTTGTTTCCTGTCATGTTTGCCATGTCCATATTTCAGAAGCCAGGCCCTGCCCATCTAACACCTGGGATTGAATTATTTTTTCTGAAATTACAAAAAACCCTGCTCTCACTGAATGCCCCACACTTAGAATTCACCTGTATCATTGTCTTCAAACACAATCTAGATCTAGTAGAAAACAGTATAATGAACACATACAAATCTCCCTCAAGCTAATGTCTAAATGGCAGTCTCTCTTCAAGAACCTATACCTGGGTAATCACATAGCAACTAAAGAATATATAATCACGTGTCATACATAACATAATACTGAAATGACAACAGTTAATGTAATAACTCCCTATCAATAATATTTTACAGTAAAGTGAATAACTGATGAATGAAAGACTTGCTAAGTTTAGAGACAAAAAGAAAAAAATCCCTTCTTCTCTTACCTTCCCAGACATACATGCCAGAAACAAAGAAAAAAGAAATGAGTGTGAGCCTGAGGCAAGAGAACTGCATGTCAGCACAAACTATTAATCCCAGAAGGCCAGCATGTTTTAAGGAAACTTTGTAATCCTTAAAGAGTCAACTTAACTATCACTAGATACACTGCTCAAATTGGCATGCACTCAAAGACTGAATTTTCAGACCCACCAGAGCAGGGCCACCAGCAGCAGCTACACTGTAGAAAAGGCTAAATACCATTACATCCAACCAATTCTTAACAACAGGTATAAAAAAAGCACTGTAAAACACCTGGGAGTAATACCTAGCACCTAATAGTCTATCCAGGTATTCACTTCCCCACTAGATTCTAAGTTTCAACTTCTTTGATTTATCAGCTTCACTCATGAAGGTGTCCAAAGACTAGTCAATCTGTAATCCATACACAAATATCAAAGATGCCGTTAAATATTAAATGATTTTTAAGAAGTTTACGTGTCAACATGCCAATTACTTTTTGCATTTCTCATCTTGTCCAACGAACAGCAATGACGTCAGTTTTAATTTGGGCCTATTAGTGCTCTGATGTCTAGGTTGGAAAAGATGCAGAGTAATTTTCATTTAAAACCATTAAATATTGTTAGAGGTTGTTCTAATAAGAATTACCTGTCTTGGAAATTATAAGAGTTCAGTTTTCAAAATGGATATTTTGGGCCACGTTTAAATTGACAGCATCTCTAGGTCTAAGAAATCTTTTGACATACTTCTGCCTCAGGGACCACTTTCTCTCCCCTCAAGTAGCCAGGTGAAATATTTAAAGGCAAGCCGGCAGGCTGCAATTTATATATCTCACTTCTATTGCCTCCAAGTTTAACTCAGACATACCAAACCTATATTAACAAAAAAGCTAGAACAGCTGTGAAACTAATGTCTGTTTAGCATACACGTGGCGTCCTGCGCCTAGAGCAACCAGGAGGGCATCACTGAAGAGCTTGATGGACTATGACACGGAAAACCAAGAAGGTTGTTGCTCCCTTTGAAACAACGACCCTGCACTTAACCATCCTGGCTCCTTGGCTCCGGGATGCCACACAGGAAACTTGGCTAAAGAGAAGTCTGGTACCAGGGACAAAAAATAAAGTTAAAACACTAAAAGGAAGGATGAAACGGGCTACGCCAGCTGCCAGCAAAAACCCAGGGTCTCTGCTAAGGGATCCCCGCCCCTCGGCCCCGTGCAGAGATGGGGGAACTGAAGGCCGCTGGTCCCCACTCCCCCCCCACCAGAAAGCAGCCACCAGGGAGGAACTGAGTCCCCTCAGCCCAACCCGCTCTGGGGGCAGAGCAGGCACGAGAAGGCCCCGGAGAGGGTCGGCCAGGGGTCGGGGCGTGGAGGTGCAGGGGAGGACGCCAGCAACGAAGCGGGCGCGGAGCCTAAAAAAAGGGGCTCCCGGAAAAGCAAACGGGGCGGGGCGCAGCGAAGCCGGGGCCGAGCTGGCCAAGGTCCCGCGGGCAGCGCGGCGCCGTCACCCACCAGGAGCCGAGCTGGAGCCGAGCCGGGCGCCCCCCGCGGGCGGAGC